TGAACTTCTCATACTTGATTACATTAAAATCCATTGATCTATCTTGCACTTTGAATGGATTTTTTTTTACCTCCTTATGATTTTATGACATCAAGCACTAACTGTTTGGAAAACATTGATTCACTGAGTTATGCAGAACTTTCAAATGCTGACACATTCATTATGGAAAATATATATATATATATATATTAAATCCCATACATTCATAGTACCAACAATCTCATGAGAAAAGTCTTCAAGTATTGAGAAACTGTCAAGCTCATGGTAGTGAATATGAGTTTTCCCAGAATCCTGTTTTTTATTTCAAAGCTAGAATTTTCTAATCTGTAACCCCCAAAAAAAAAAAATGTCAATCGTTTTCCTTGAAGAGATAGACTCACTTTGTTCATTTCCAAGAAAATATCTGGCAAATATCCAAGTCTGAATAACTATAGTTTATCTATCAGTCATTGTGATGAGTAGAATAAAATACACCACCAGCACCATATCACCCCAAAAGTGCATTCACTTCCCAGTCTCAGGAACCTCTGGATATTACCTTCCATAACAAAAGCTGTGATTAAGTGAAGGACATGAGCAGGGAGGCTGTCCCTGGATTATCTAGGCAGGCCTACATCCAGTGACAGGTCCCTTATAAGAAAGAGGCAGAAGGAGATTTGGGAGAGATAGGACACAGGGACTCAAACAAGAGAAGGTCGTGTGAAGATGAAGGTACTTTGGAGTGACGCTGCCTCAAGCAAAGACTTCCAAAGCACGCAGATCACCGGCAGAAGCTGTGAGGGGTGAGAAACAGATTCTCCCCCGGAACCTCAAGAGAGACCATGAGCCAGGCTCGGTGGCGCACACCTGTAATCCCAGCAACTCAGGAGGCTGAGGCAGGAGGATGAGGAGTTCAAAGCCAGCCTCAGCAGATTAGTGAGTTACTTAGCAACTCAGCGAGACCCTACCTCTAAATAAAATATTACAAAAGGCTGGGGATGTGACTCAGTGGTAAAGCACCCCTGGGTTCAATCCTTGGTACCAAAGACAAAAGGAAGAGAGCATGGGCCTTCCAGCACCTTGATTTGAGACTCCGGCCTTCAGAACTGGGAGAGAATACACTTCTGTTGTTTTGAGGCAACCGGGCTATGGTAATTTGTTACAGCAACCCTAGAAAAACAACACAGTCTATTTCAAATAAAAACTGGTGTTCCACAAAAAGTCTGCTAGTTTAGCTAGTAATTCAAACAGTCACACAATCACTCTTCTCCAGAGAGCCATCATTTTTCAATATGGAGGAGCAGCGTTTTATACACAATTCTTATTTCATCGACCAAAATATTAAAAAGATACACACTCTAAAGTTAAGACTTAATGAATTAAGAATTGGTAATGTTTCATCACGGCCGTTGTTAAATGGTCTTTCTTATGCTACAAGTGATTGGCAGTAAGAACTCCATGACTTCTGGTACAGTGGGTACCTCGGCCTGTCTTCATGCTGAGGTCCCAAAGTTTCGCCTACCCTCACGTTTGCCCATCATTGCAAATATCGTTGCAGAAAAAAAAACCTCAAATATGATTTTAGTATCATTATGAAAATCATTTTGGCTTCAAGGATCCCCTTTAAGTTTCTTGCATTCTCTAGGGGCCTGCAGGACACATTTTAGGAACTGCTCAGACAAATACAGGAAGACATTAATTGTAAAATGTAAGTGGTGTTGACTGAATTTGTCTTTAAATTTTTCTATATTTTTGAAATTTTTCATAATGAACTGTGGAGGGAAAAGTTTTGTGTGTATGTAGGGGGAAAAAAAGAAAGAAAGGAAAACAATTTTTTAGTTTCTGGTTTTTTGCCTTACTCCATTGACCTAACCTGAGGGAGGAAACTCCAGCCCTTGGCCTGTCCTGTGTGGCCCAGGGCTGCTCGTCCAGCCTCCTATCTTGTCCTGGAACCATGCTGTGCGCTTGACCAGCCAACACTGGACTATCCAGAGGCCACACCATGACCTTTCCTAAAGTCGTTCCTTTTCGTGGACTCCTCCCCACTCCACGACGCTGTTCTGTCCCCTCCAGACACCAGGAACAGATCAATTTAGCCTTCCCTGAGGACCCTCCCCTGGCCTTGGGCTTTCTACTCCCAGAGTCAGGTTGAAGAGCAGAGCAGGTGGGCATCTGCCCAGGACACTAGCAAACACGGGTCGTTAAAACACTGAAGGAATGAACAGAGGAGGCAGTTAGCTCAGGTCCCCGTGAGCAGCGTCTAGGTAACAGGTGGCAAGTGAATTAATGACAGGAGTTAAAGTACTCCAAGTGGGGTCGTTCCACTTCCTCATTAGTCTGTCCCTCATAAGTATTTTCGCCCTGGATGTGAAAGGTTACTCTGAACAGCCACGGGCCAATGCGGGACAGTTTAAGGCCGCATGGGTCATGTCACAAGACAAATCTTAGGCTTTCTTGTTGTTATTGGCTGTACTGGGGAAGAAACCCGTGCCTCATGCATGCCAGGCCAGCACTGGACCGTGGGGCCACCTTCCCTGCCCTGTTTTGTTGTTGTTGGGTATTGGGGGTTTGGTGGGTTTTGGTTTTGTTCTAGGTTTTTTTGTTTTGTTTTGTGTTGGTTTGATTTTTGTTGTTTTTATTGTTGTTTGCATGCTTGCTTGCTTGCTTCTGAAACAGGGTCTTGCTAAATTTCCCAGGTTGGCCTCACATCTTTTGTCCTCCTGCCTCAGCCTCCTGAGTCGTTGGGATTACAGGCACGAGCCACCATGCTGGCTAAATCCTAAACATTTTAATGCCTCCCAAAGAATTAATTACCTGGTTTCAAAGACTGCATTTTCAAAAGGTTAAACTGTTCCTATGTATTCTTTGCCTATGGTAAATCCCTTATTTTAAACAAGGAAAGAAAAAGGCAATTTTTCTTAACAGAGAATCCTTTTCTCTTTTTTAAATTGTTTTTTAATACTTGTAGATGGACAGCATGTCTTTATTTGTTTAGTTTTTTATGTGGTGCTGAGATTGAACCCAGTGCCTCATCCATGCTAGACAAGCACTCTGCCACAGGGCTACAGCCCCAGCCCCAGAGAATCCTTTTCTTTACATCAAAGCTATTTATGTGTTGAACTAATATTTAAGAAACATTATTTTAAAGAATGCCAAACTATCCACCTTCCTAGGAGTCCCGCATTTTCAACCAGTCCAGTCGTCTGAGCTGCTTCTTACTTGACCAATTTTCGATCCTGGCAGGATGTAACTGTAATTATTTGAATTTCTCTCTCTGCGTTTGACTTCAAGCTTCTTGACAGCAAGGACTGTCCATTTGTCTTTGGATCCCAGGACCTAGCCCAGTGTTTGGACTGCACCACATGCTCCCATAGCTATTTGTCAATGAAGTGAATGTTTCACAGTAGGTGAGACCCCTGTGCAGGTACAAATTCACAAATCCACTGTACAAATTCCACACCTGAGCTTCTCACAGAAGCAGAACCCCCCAGCAGAGACCCCAGTTCCTCTGACAACTCACTTAATCAAATATTTATGGAAAGACAAGTGTCAACAACTTGCAAACCTTGGAGCTGGATGCCAGGAGAGTTGCAGAGCAAAACAAGGTCCCTGCCCTTCTGCAGAGAATAATGCAAACTCTACAACGCTCATGAAATGTTCCAGAGAAAAAAAAAATGAAGCATGCAGAATTCCATAAAACAAAAGCAGGCGTCCTCCAGAGGACTAACAACTTGAATAGAGGATGCTAAAGAAACTGGTCCCTCCTTTTATCGCTCAACAGTTAAATGCAGACAATGGATGAGGATCGCTGAGGCCCAGATTCCTAAGCTCATAAACCATGCAGCATGTGACTAAAAATAAAATCAAGTTAATAAGAGAGGATCAAATTCTAAAGAGCATCTACACATAGAACACCCAAATCTCCATTCAGGGATGAAAGTAAGTTCTTGAATCCTTTTCTGAATAGCCCATGGGTCACCTGACAGTCTGAACTTGCAGCATCAACAAGAAGCTTTGTGAGGTGGTCTCAGCTCCATCTATAAAGCAGGAGTAATATAACTTGCTTTTCTGCCCATAAAAGAGTTAAATGAGAACTAACCGGTAAATATTCATTTAAAGACATTTGTGTCTGGGGGGAAAAAAAAAACATACTCATCAGACACAAAGCATTCTGATGTCTCCCTCAGAACTGGTAATTAAATTGTGTCACTTTACAAATGTGATCAGATAGTAGTTGGCTGTCATTTAGCCAAAAGATATGCCCACTTCACTTGATTTTCCCCAACGACCTTCCCGAATAGTTCAGACTTAGAAGGAAAAAAAAAAAAAAAAGGCAGGTCAGGGTATTCACTCTCAGATGAAGATTTTACTGGTGATTACCAAGTTCATTCTTGATATCTTTAAGTCTTCTTGGCTAACCTGGGCTCTAGAAACTGTCTTTCTCTGAATGCTGTTGTTTGCCTGCTCTGCAGCACCCAACCAACCCTGAATTATTGAATGCTTCGTTTCAAGTACCAATTTCCAGGGTCAGGGTTTATCTCCCTGGGAGGATAGAAACCCTCTCAACCCCTCTCCTGACCCTCCTGACATCTAGCTTAGCACTTCTTGGCAAATACTTGCCAATTTGACCTGAATCTTTAAGAGAAAAAGCCAGCTATGGATGTGACCATGGTCCCTCCAAGCATACCTCCCAAAGGCCTTTATGTCCCCACCAATTTATTCAAAGGCTGCCAACTGATGGGCTAAATTAAAAAAAAAAAAAAAAACAGATTAGAAATGGGAGCAGAAGAGAACTTGATCCTCAAGCCCCAAATTGAGGTTTCATTATTAAAAAAAAAAAAAATCAGAGCCTGCATCTATTTAAAGAGCAAAGACTTGGTTCTCCAAGCCTGTCACTCCATGTACCATCTTTCAGTGAACAGGGAAAAGACAACGGCACTGAAGGAAATCCCCGGGCCCCAGGGACAGATGGAATGCTTGCATTTGGAGTCTTTTTAAAAATTTTTTAATATGCCCCGCTAGTCAAAGGTCTCCATCGATGTGAGAAATTAATTAGTAGCAGCTTCCGCCATTGCAGCTTGGCTTAACTAATTGCTGATATGCCAGGGATGGGGGAGGAACAGCAAGCAGGGTGGGGTGGATTACCACAAAACAGATGAAGTTTTAATTAATGGTGTCACTGGATGTCACTTCTCCTGGAACAAAGAATGACCTCTTAGCTGGTAACTGATGCGGTGTGCATTCACGGCACAACCACAATCCCTTCCTGGTCCAGATGGCCCCAGCTGAAAGGAAAACAGGGGAGGAAGATGTTAAGGTGGCAGGAGCATCCTCTGAGCACAGGGGACCACCTCCACAGGTCCAGGGACACAGAGCCTGCGGGGGCCTTGCTGGGTGATATATGGACGCGGTGTGCAAAGATAGTACATTCACATTGACCTCAGAGTGTACAAAACCGTGCAGTTTTGACACAAAAACTACAACCCTACATTTAAAATGATTACTGACCCCCTTTGACGTCTTAGCTGTAAGTAGGAGATTTAATCATATCGTCGGGCTCTGTGATTTATGAATACCATAAATCACATTGTGTTTTTTTAGCCAAGTCGTGTCTGTCACCGTGCTAAGGGACCAGAGCCACTGGCATCTTAGTAAGAGATAAAAACAAGACTGTTTATAAAGATATTTCCGAGTCGACAGCTAATTGGGAGCTAGAGGAAATGAGCCTGGCCAGACTCCCTCGACGTTCCCTTTTTCCCTGGGACGAGGTGGATGCTGCTGTCAACTGCTCCCACCCTCTCAGCCCAGCCCAGTACCCTCTATCACTTCCTCCCTCTGCAGGGACGCGGGTGGCGCCTTATAAAATCAGCATGGATGCTTTCGCACAGGTGACTGATGGCTGTCCAAAGGTGGGGGCACAAGTGGCACTCTATGTGTGGGTTTGCTAAGATTGGGGCAGAGGACAAATTCAAGTTCACCAAAGAAGTTAGTCGAGTGGTACATGATTGAGGGGACCCAGGGCCTTGTGTGGACCAACACCCAACGCTCAGGCCTCTCCACCATGCCAGGCAGCTTCTTTGTTTCTGCCTACATTGCACCAACATCCACTTTACGCTAAAATCTACATTACTCCAAAAACTTGCTTCAGAACCCCGTGACTACCAGTTTCATCCTAATGTCTAATAATCCAGGTAAGTTGTTATGATATCCGTTTGCCCTGCCGGCCATCACAAAACCCCTTAGACTGTGCCACCTGAACAGCAGAACTTGGTTCCCTCACAATTCTGAAGACCACAAGCCCAAAATCAAGGCCTCGGCTTGCAGATGGAATCTTCTCCCTGGGTCTTCACGTGTCTGGGTCCTTGTCTCCTCTTCCTGGAAGGCCACCATCAGATTGGATAAGGCCCACTCACATGACCTCCTTTTACCTGAGTTCCCCATTTATTGATTTGGTACCAGGGATTGAACCCAGGGGCGCTTAACCACTGAGCCATATCCCCAGCTCTTTCTTATATTTTATTTAGAGACAGGGTCTCACTGAGTTGCTCAGGGCCTTGCTAAGTTGCTGAGGCTGGCTTTGAACTTGAGACCCTCCTGCCACAGCCTCCTGATCCAGAGGGATTCCAGGCGTGCTAGTTTCCTCTTCAAAGGCTCCATCCCCAGCAGTTGCATACTAAGGCATCAGGGGATAGGGTTTCAACCTATGAATTTGGACGGGGGGACACAATTGAGCCATATCCCTTGTTTTTTCCCCAGCATCGCCAAATTACATGAGTGAGCATGCCCAGGCGTGCACACAATGCACGACACTTTACCTTTACCCTTGATTTTCTCAGAAGTTCCCAGTATTGCACTGGAAGCTGTATTGAGAAGTCCAGGGTCTTGCGGCTCACAACAGTCTCTGGGGTAAACCCAAAGCCTGGCTGTAAATGCTCAGTTTTCGGGACATCTAACCCTTTCCTGGGGATGGTGGATGCCTGGCCACCCTAGTGGCAGTGGAGGGAAGGCCTTGGAGGCTGCTCTCTGGCTGCTGTGTCCTCACTGCTCTTGTTGCTGAAGTGCCCAAGGCCAGCATGACTCAGGATCTGTTCCACTGGCAGAGCAAACCACTCAGTCCTTGCCCAAAGGACTTTGGTCTCAGTCCCCAGCTGACAGTTTCCTCTGCTCTCCCTGTTCCTGCAGGTACAGGGCACTGGAAGTGGCTCCCCTACTGATCCCCAACTCCAGCAGCTGCCTTCCAGCCTCTGCTTCGGGAAGATTCTGCCCTTTCCCTGGTGATGATCCCAATGAGCTCACCAAGTCCACCCCTCAGCTTCTGTCCTCATCTCCCACACTCTTGGTCCCTTTTCTGTGACTATAATAAAATACCTGAGATGGGTAATTTATAAAGAGTGGAGGTTTATAGGATTCATGGTTCTGGAGGCCGGGAAGTCCAACAGCACGGCACCACCAGCATCCGCCCAGCTTCCGGTAAAGGCCTGCGTGCTTCATCGTAGCACGGCAGAAGGCATCACGTGGAGACAAAGCAAGCTGCCAGCTCAGGACGCCTTCCTGTCTTATTCAGCAACAATGCCACCACAGGGCCCCACCCTCAGGCACATGTCTAGTTCTGATTACCCTCCGAGGGCCTCACCTCCAAACATCATCCGCCTGCAGATTTGGGGATTAAATTTCCAGTGCATGAACTTTGGGGGGACACATTCAAACCAAAGCAAATTCAGTGTAGCAGCAACATGACACCCTGGCACATGCTCTCTTTCATCTCATGTCCCCTTATCTCCTCTGCAGGGTTTCCCACCTCAGCCAGGGACACCATGTGGTCACCTCTCCTTATCTGACGGGCAGCCCTTCAGGGTCCATTCCCCTCAGCTTTCCTGGGAGGGGGTCACCACCTCCCATTTGCTCACCTCACGCAGACCCCCTATTCCCTTTCTCTCTCCTCAGCCCTTCCTCCCCAAACTGAAAGAGGTTTTAGTTGCCAACAGTACAGGAAATTTCCTTGGGTCAGATTCATGGTCTAAAGCGAGAACGCTGTGCTCAGACTTCCAAGGGCTGCTCTTCAGATGCGGGTGGGAGCTTTTTGGAATTTGAAGCATGCTGTTCTTTCTCAGCAAAGCCTGGAGCTGAAGACTCTCACTTTGCACAAAGCAATCCTGACATGAGACCCAAAGTGAGGTCTCTGCCTGAATGGATGCGTTCTGTGCCAGGAAACCTGAGGTCAAGGTACACAAAGACACTGATATGTACAGAACATAACGCCTGTTGCACTAGTAGCTATGAAACAAATTTTCTGGTACACACCCAGAATAAGCCAACTTGTTAAGGGCATTCGATTGACCTACTTAGCATTATTTTCCTCATTAGATATGCACTTGGGGAGATCCATCAAATGCAGGAGCCTTTCTCCGATCCTAAGCAGAAGCCTTGGTATCTGAGAGGTAAGACCACAGCCATCAACAGCAATTGTAAAGTGCTGCTTTCTCATGCACCTAGGACTAAGGCATATAAACATGCACAGAAGAAACCCCGCAGAAAACCTTCAGCATAAAAGGATCAGATTGGCTGCTTCCATTAAAACAAAAAGCCTGAATTAGAGGCAACCCACCTGGAGATTCAGACCGAAACCGAGAGCCGGGCTACTTGGCTTCATATGCCAACTCCCCTTATTCCTACCTCTGTAACGCCACCATATTGCTAAATGGTTCTCTGTCTCCTCATCTGCAAAATGAAATGTGCAACTGCTAATCTCTCCCAGTTTTCTTGCTTTTAAAAGAGGGCCTGTGGCCTGGTGGTGTGGTAAGGCTTACAGGATTAGTCCATGTGAGGTGCTTTGTCAATGTTAGCTGTTACTGTTACTACCAGACTGTGGGGAAAGTGACTATAATGAATATTAATAGTTAAGGTTTATTGAGTGCTTAGTATATGCCAGGTAATGTTATAAGTTCCTGACATGTTAACACGTGCTAAAAGTTATTTATAAGAATTTCTATCCATTCCTCTATCTGTATTACCACCCCCACCTTCCGCTAGTAAAATTCTGGCTTGGTTCATTTGGCATTTCCCCATATTTGCAGCTCACGGGCCTTAATCCACAGATTGGGGGGGAATACAGTAAGCCTGAGAGGCAATGAGATTTGTGATTGCAATAAAGAGAATTCTGGCAAGGAAAAATAAAAGCTCCAAGACAGCTTGTCAGGTAAGCATGACAAGTTTTGCAGCAGGTAAGACTAAAGAGCAGAGCGCCCTGGGGCACGCCTGTAATCCCAGTGACTGGGGAGGCTAGAACAGGAGGATCACAAGTTTGAGGCCAGCCTGGGCAATTTAGCAAGACCCTCACAACTTAGCAAGACCCTGTCTCCGAAATAAAAATGGCTGAGATGTGGCTCAGTGGTACAGTGCCCTGGGTTCCATCCCCAGTACAAAAAGAAAAAAAACAAAGAAGGAATGGAACAGAGTGTTTTTCGCTAGGTGAGGTGTTATTCAACTCTCATCCCAGCTACTCAGGAAGCTTAGGCAGGAAGATTGCAAGTTCAAGGCCAGACAGTATCAGAAAAAAAGAAAAAAAAAAGAGAGAGAGAGAGAGAGCAAGAGAGAGAAAAATTTCAAAGACAGCTACTCTCTTTTGAAACTGAGGGGTGGACAAGTTAAAGGCAAAGAGACATTTTGTCTTGGATTGTGCTGAGCATCAAGCCCAGGGTCTCACACATTCTAAGTAACACTCTACCATTGACCCACACCCCCCAGCCTCAGAATAGAAATATTTTAAAGTTTAACTATCTGGTACACATATACTACCTCCATGGAATTTTCTTAAGAAACCATAGTAAGTACTTGAATTTCACGAAAACTTCTTTGCAAACATTCTTTGAATGTAACTCCAAACTAAGAGCCATATGGGGGCCTGGCTTTATGCAGGTTACACATGCACTCTCTCATCTCCACGGCAATCCCAGGAGGTGGGTGCTATTATTATCCTTCTTTGAAGAGAAAACTGAAACTTACAGAGGTAACTTGCCCATCTAGTCACACAGAAAGTGCCGGAGCTAATTGCACATTTAAGTAGTTTGATCTCTGAACCTGCACACTGACCACTGGGTCCCATCAATCACCCCTTTGCGCCTGCCTCCTGGTAGTTCTTGCCTCTGGATTATCCTCTAAGATTGTTGCCTCAGGAAACAAACCAATGCCAAGTTTTCTCACCAATAAACACAAATGTTTCCTTTCAATAGAAACAAAAGTCATATTGTGTATATTTGTGTGTGCCTGTCTTTTAATTTAATTAAACATTTGCATTGTTTAAAATTCAAAAGGTAGGAATAGTCTATTGCAAAGTCCCCACCTAACCTTGTCCCTCCAGCCATCTGGTTCTCCTTCCCAGAGGCAAACAATGTTATCAGCTCCTATTGTATAAGTTTCAGATAAAAGGTTTACAAGCAAATGCACTTTTTTCTTCTCTCTTTCTTTTTTAAAGGTCAGCACAACATACTCCATGTAGTGCACTTTGATTGTTCCCCCTTATCAAGTATCTGGAAAGCCACTCCTTATTGGTGTGTAAGAAAAATCCTCCATTAAGGATGCACCAAGATTTTTAAAATTAGCTCCCTGTCAGAAAATGAGAATATTTCTAAGTGTGTGCAATTGTGAAGGATGTGACAGTGAATAACACTGTACTTAATGTCTATCCATAGCATAAATTCTTGAAACAGAATTTCTGGGTCAACAGCCAAGTGCATGTGTATTTTTAAATAGATGCTCCCAAATGGCCCTTCACAGATTATTTTTAACAAAACATACTCCTACTCACTGTGTTTAAGGTTGCTTATTTTCCCACACCCTCTTCAACACAGAAGGTATTAAACTTTTTGGTCTTTGCCCACCTGATGGATGAAGATGGAAAACCCACTTCTTCTCTTTCCTCGAGATCCACATGTTTACACTCCAGCCCTAGCCCACAAACCCCTTTGGGCATTCACTAAAACAGTACAGGTATTAAACACACATATGGCTCAGTCCTAGCCCCCGCTTTGTCCTAGAAAGCAATAACTTTTCCCCATGATTGTATATGGCTTAAGATTCCTTCAGATAGCTGGGACTCGAGTAACTCCAGACCTCTTAGTTGTGGAACATTGTAGTCATTATTGGAGTTTTAGAAGAATAAATAAATAGGCTTTCTCTCCTAATTCTTTTCTCACCCCCTTACCCCATCCAGCTTCAAGTTGGGATCAAATTAGAGAATCAAAGTCAGACAGATGGAGGTCAAAATATCTGCTTTATTTCTGAGTAAAGCCGATTGAAAGCCAAAGCTGAGACCTGGAAACAGATGGGTTTCCTAATATCTGCCACCACCATCAAGAAAAAGCCATCATTGAACCCACACTCCAGCCAGGGCAGGCTGGCAGGTGGATGCTCCTCTGACGCAAGGTCCACTTTTGATAGGGCCTGGAAGGACAGAGGGTTTCTTGGGGTCTGCCTTGCCTGGAGGAATCTATGGGAAGGCCTGGCCACATGGTCCACCAGCCAGGGAGCCCCTGGAGAGCCGTGGTGAATGAGGGGGATGATGCAGAAAGACCAGGAGCACCCCTCCCCTGTAACCCACCCTCCAGAGGCAAGGAAGCCATCGCTTCTGTAAGCCAGTGTAAGGGGAGGAGGATCAGAGGGCTCTACTGATAGTCTAACCTTTGGGGACAAAATTATAAAGAAAATGAGATCATTGTGCAGGGCACCAAATTTTTTCATTCATGCAACAAATACTGATTGAGGATTTCCTTTGTGTCATGCTCTGTGCTAGGATTGGGCTCTACAAAGATGAATCCAACCCAGATCTTGCCTCCTATAGAATCAACGTGGCAGAAGAGAGCTCGCCGTGAACCTGAACCATTCTCACACCAACTCTAATTGAAACACAAAAAGAGAAGGAAGAAGGCCTTGCAGAGAAGGGCCCTTGAGCTGTGTAGGAAGGGCAAGTTAGGTAGCCAGTCTCCTTGTACCTAATGATATTTTGCAGACAGAGCTTGTGGGCTGGGCCAGAGGGGAAGACAGGATCCGAAAAACAGCAGTTACAAAAGCAGAGAATGGAGGCAGGATCCAGGTGGTGCCCGGGGCATGGAAAATATTTCCGTGTGGATGGAGACCTGAGCAGAAGGGGAGAAAGGGGCATAAGGGATGGAAGGTAGGGCTGGGGAGGGCGGCACTTCCCGCCAGATTGAGAAGCCTGATCCCCAGGCAAGGGGGAGGCTTTCATGCTGTTTAAGCAAAATTGACATGACCTGATTTTGTTGCAGAGAGATCATTCTGGCAGCAAATGAGGAGGATAGGTTGGAGAGAGAGAGAGATAGAGAGAGAGAGAGCGCACTCGGAGGGCCTAACAGTTAAGAGTTAACACACTGGTCCAGGAGAAAGAGGTTCAGGGGCAAATTGTCAGGAAAGCCTTGGGAAGTAAAAAGACTGGACAGACATTGCATGGGTGGAATGGTAAATAAGCGGTGACTGAGCATCATGGGAGGTGAGCGAGGAGTTGAGGTGCTCTGTTTGAACAGTGAGGTTATAAACAAGACTAGAAACAAAAGAGGAGCAGATGTGGGGAGAGAAGATGAATTGAATGTGGGCATATTGTGTCAAAGTTGCCTGAAAGATGCCTACTAGGATGTTTCAGTTACAGTAACAAAATACCTGAGATAATCAGCTTAAAAAGAGGAAAGGCTGATTTCAGCTCACAGTTCTAGAGCTTTGAGCCTTTGATCTGCTGGCCCCATTGCTTTGAAGCTGTGGCAAGATGGCGCATCACAGCAGGAACATGTGGTAAAGCAAAGCTGCTCACCTCAGGGCAGGGAAGAGAAGAAAGAGAGAAATCAAGAGAACAACATCCCATGATCCCCTTCAATGGCACTCCCCCAGTGACCTAAAATCCCACCAGGTCCCACCTCTCAGAGGCTCTGCACTTTCCAGTAGGGCCAAGCTGAGGACCAAGCCTTTAGCACAAGGGGCTTTGGGGCCATTGCAGATTCAACCTTGGGCAGATGTGTCTAGTGGGTGCTTGGAAGAAAGAGTTGGAGCTCAGAGAGAAGTCCAGGATGCAGACAGACTTGGCTGCAACTGGGATAGGACCAAAGGGGAAGCGGTGGGAAACTGTCAACGCCGTCTGCTGAGAACATGATGAGACATCGGGAGCCAGAGGAGTCAAACAGGGAGTATCTGGAGCAAAGATGAGGTCAATAGGGACCTTCAGTGGGGTCAGGGGCAGAGGAGTCAAGGAAGCAGAAGAATCCTTCAACTAACCGCAGAAGGAGTAAAATCCCCACCCCACCTCCCCATGTGCTCAAGGCCACACGGGATCTTTCCAAGGTTTGGGCACTTTTCTCCTCCATGCTCGTTCTGAACCCTCCACCCTCCCAAGAGACAAAAATGGGGACACTCAGGGGAGCCCAGCCTCCACCCTCCTACCTCCCTGGAAGAAGATTCTCCTCCTCAGTCACAGAAAGAAGGAGAAGAAAGCAGGGTATGTCTTCAGGACCTCCTTCCTACACAATCTGGCCAAAACTCTGCACTGATGAGCATCAGAGGGAGCCTACCCTCCTGGCTGACGCTTTCTCACAGGTTGGACCTGCTCTAACAGCGACTCTGCAAGGAGCGCCAGGCCGGGCCCTCTGCTCCCATCTGCCCGCCATCTTCCACAGTCACCTTCTTTAGTCCTCAGACTTGACACCACTCATCCACAGAGCGTGAACGACCTCCTTCCTTTCCACAGAACTTCTACTGACTTCTTCAAACCACGCCAAAGTCTTGTCCAGTCTGTGGGTCTCCCCTTCACCTTCTGAGGGTGAACCCAACTCATGACCCGCATTCTACTGTCTTGGACTAGGGACTTGGTCTGTGTTAATCCTTTCTATTTGTTCATTTGCCTATTTGTTTTACAAAAATCGTGTCACTTACAGTATTTATTTTGAAGAAAAAGCAAATTTTTTCTACATATCCAAAACTCTGCCTCTAAGTATTTAATTTATTCAACTGAGCCATATTTATTGAGCAATTACTTGTCACAGGGCAAACACCGTCCTACATGACAGAGGTTTTAAGTAAATGTAAGTAAACAAAGCACCCATCCCCTGGCCCAAGAAACGAGCATGGGCTCCTCCAGGGGATGGAGGGGTTACTTATGTCCCAACCCCTCCCGCCGCCCCATTCAATAGGTCCCGCTAAAGCAGCTGCCCCTCTACCCACCTTCCTAAGCAGAGAGGAATGAACAAAATCTGAAATATTCGTGTTGACTCCAGGAGTATCATTTAGGATGCTGTGTTTTAAAAGAAAAGCTTTGTTTACCCTGCAAACGTGGTGAACGGTCCTAAAACCTGATGCACTTTCTATGAGAAGGCGCCCAGCACTAGCCCACCAAGTGACCGTACCCGGAAGGCAGGGTTCTCTGCCTTGGGACAGGAAGCAGAGTGGCCATGAGGGCAGAGCATGCTGACCTACCAGGAAAAGCCTGAAAATACAGAGGAGGTCGGGCTGCAGCTGAGGGTGCGGAGGCCAGCTGCAGACCTCAGAGGACGCAGGCCATCGAGAGATGAGCAGCCTGAACAAGGGCAGGGGAGGAAGGGAAGGGCCCTACAATCCAGTCCTCGGCCTCACCGTCTGTTTTACTACGATGATGATAAAGTCTTGAGGTTTATGTTTATTGCAAAAAGTAAAATGGATTAATAATAATTAGAAAATACCTAAACCATATGTTCCTCCCCCACCCTCTCCATATGAAACCCTGGGTCCCCACCATGTCCCCCACTTCTCTGTCGCCTCCCACCCCATCATTCTCTGCTGTGACAGCAGAAGCTTGAAAGACCAGAAAAGTGTTAGCCACTTACCAAATGCCTGAGGCTACGAAATGCTTAGGATCCAAGACCCGAGTAAGGGACGGACATCTTCATTTCCGTATGCAGGACTTACAAGTCCAAGGGAGATCCCCATTTGAAGGTCCGTGGGTTCCCATCTCTTCATGTCCAGAAGACCTGGGAGGCACACCCTGTGAGTCAGAAAAGGATTAGATGTGGGTTGTATTTGTAATAAGTGATGCCCCCCAGGACTACCAGCGGCCAGGGGAGGACAATGTATCCCACCACCAGTTCAAGGTATTGTCTCACTTCATGTGCCTCAAGGAAGCTATGGGCTGCTTCTTAGAAAGGGTGAGGGACAGTTGTCCCTACACAGAATATCCCCAGAACACTACCCGTGAAACGTCCACTCCTCTTCCTTAATATCAACGCTGAGAGTCCTACCTTGTCTGCACGATGGAATCACCTGGGCAACTTCCAAAGATGCCCGTACCTGTGTCCCTGCCCAGAAAGCAGGACTGTACCCATTTGGGTAGCAGATTGGTTTAGAAGCTGGAAAAAGATGCCCAGGCGGTACCAATGTGTGTCAGGCATGTGTGGGAACCTCTGCTTTCACACGAGGTTCTCAGAAATGACTCCTGCCATTGCCTGAGACAGCCCAGCCCCACAATTCTAATGTGGTATGCTCTGGAAAAGCTCTCTAGAAGGTATCCAAACTAAAGGAATATGAACTTGGATCAGTGCCCGCAGAGTTCATGAACCGTGGGATCGTGACTTCAGACTGCTTCTGCCCAGAGACCTCAGCTCTTTACTGGATAACTGAAGTGGCTGAAGCAATGACCACACCAGATAAGTGAAGTTTTATGGTGTCTCCATACACGGGATGGGTCATGTTTTCATATACATACACAGGTTCATGGGAACTTAGCCTACAAGGGACACAGTTGAACTACAGTGTCTTCCCTTTTTCCTCTCTAACTCATTCAAACTGAGAGTTGAAGCAACTTGAGAGATGAGCATCTCCTCAGTTTGCCATCCTGTGACGTCTTAGAGCAAGTTCACACACAGCCTGTTCTCAGTCAAAGCCAAGTTCTCGGCCACCTCCATTGCTGCTGACTCTCCCAGAGCTGGCTAACGGGCCGAGGAACAGCCACGGCTCCTAAGTGACAAGACACTTTTTGTCAAAGTGGTGCCTGGGGTCCTTCTCATGGATATCAAGTAAGATCGCTTCCCAATTAAAATGTTCCACATGAGGCCCGTGACCTGTTCCCCAGGGAGGGTGCTGACTGTTAGAGAGCTGAAGTTCAGCTCACGGCTTCCCACTCAACTGCCTTTTAAATGGAAAAACAATTACTTTCATCATTCCAAGCAGGACGTTTCCCAGAGCCAGAACAGCTTCTCTGAGCATCCTTGAGAGACTTGGACCGGGGAGAAAACTGGTCCTCAGAGCTCCCAGCTGATGCAAGCTGAGCACATTCCCCAGGAGATGCACTCCTCCCTTCTTAGGGCAAGAAAATAAATGAAATGTTTGGGAAAACAGCCCTGAATATCGCCCTACTGGACTCCAGAAGCAAGAGACAGATCCAGCCAATGATGGTTCTGCTCACCTTGGAGTCCAGACCAAAGACCCCAGAACACACGGATCACGGCTGGAGAAGAAGCCTGTTCCCGTGGCTTCACTGCTGTGTGTACATGGGGCAAGTCGGGGCATCCTTCCCTTGCTGGGTCTTCTTGTTGTTTCGTTTTCCAACCATCTTTAAAGTCTTTCTTTTATCATACGAGGGGCACATTTGAACTACAGTGTCTTCCCTCTTTCCATCTAACTTTCATTCAAATTGAGAGTTGAAGCAACTTGAGGGCAGGAGCCATCCGTCTCCTCAGCTTGCCATCTTTGCTTGTCTTTTCTTGTTTTCCAACCATCTTTAAAGTCTTTCTTTTATCATATCAGAATCCTTCATAGATACCCTCTGATGATATACTTAGTTAACAGAGCACAGAATCCAATCTCAGTTGTATTTCACCCTAGTGTGCTATAGGGGACCCCCAAACACTCGTTATAAAGAAATTATTTGAAGCAAATATTAAATTCATGGGGGTTCACTGTGCTCTTAAATAAAACCTGTCACTTGACACCTTGGAGGAGATAGTTCAGGTGGTAGAGGGGCAGGGGATGCTTAAAAAATGAACTCAGTAACAGTTAACACAAGACTCCAGGAGAGTCACAGGTGTGCTGCTGTCGGGACACGAACTGCACCTGTGGCCACCTCCTGAGGGCAGAGTATTAACCTTTTCCTAGAAAGAAGGACTCCTCCGGCTGGTCTTCTTCTTGCCTTCTCTGTTTTCGATGCCCTTCCTAACTCACGTCAGGGACCACTTTATCCTATGGATGTCTTTGGCTTCCATGATGCTTTTATCTCTAGATCTTCCTCCTAATTCTCTGTTTCTTTGTTGTCCTGCTCATGGGCACACATTCCTAAGTCCTGGACTCCCTGGGCTCCTTCTTGGCCCTTTTCTCAGGTGCTCTCCCAGAGTGACCTCCTACACTCCCTGGACTTCAGTGGTTGTCTGTAAAGTCCTGACCTTCATTCCGCTGTCTCCTGGACATAGATTAGCCACTGTGGAGACTCTTAGGGCTTAATATGTATGAAACAGGATGTGTCGGTCTGGTTCCTAAATCTTGCTGCCAGTCCTTACCTTGCAGCTGGTCATCTACCCATCCATTGGTATTCACCTTTAGAATTCACCCTCAAGACTTTCCGCTCACCCCCTGTACCTAGTTCATCAGCATTTGTCTCAGGAATTGAGTTTGGCTGCTAGGCAGAGAGGGAGAGAAATCACAGTGAGTTCAACAAGAAAAGATTCGGGGTTTTTTGGTTTTTTTTTTTCCCCTAACATAGTGTGAAGCGCAGAGGTAGCTGTCCAAGGTTGGGGTGTCTTGCTTCTCTGGATGCTTTTCACAAGGCTTCCTTCCATCCTTAAGAGTACATCCTGGTGACAAGACGGCTGCTCCCAATTTCCAGGCTGAACAAGAAAGAGAGAAAATGCAATTAAGGCCCCTCCAGCTGAGTGAGTCCCCGTTAACAGTCGTCATTCCAAGCCAGGCCCTTCCAGGGAGTCTCAGAAACTTAGATTTCCAGGTGGTTTTTCACTCTTCCCCATAACATATAAGGACTGTTCACAAAGAGAACAGTAAGGCAAGGTAGAAATCTATGCCATCCATTCTACTTCCTTATTATCTATCAGATTCAACCTCCTCATACACTTGACTCAGACCCACCTCCTTTCCTCTATGGAATGATTAATCGCCTCCACATTCGACCCCTGCCTCCCACCTCTGCCCCTCGTCGCCATTACACTGCCACAAATGGTCTGACCAATCCCTGCCTAAAGTCTTTCAGGGGTTCCCCTTTTAGCCTTCAAGGAAAAGCCTAGGCTGCTTTACATGGCTTAAAACCCTTCGAGATCTTGCTCAAAATCACTTAGAAACCTTACTACCTCTCCTTTCTCCTCTCAAACTCCATTCACACTGTGTTAGTTTCTCGACATTATTACTAAAATTCCTGACATAAACAATTTAAAGGGGCTGGGGTTGTGGCTCAGGGGTAGAGCGCTCGCCTAGCACGCGTCAGGCACCGGGTTCGATCCTCAGCACCACATAAAAATAAAAAAGGTATTGTGTCCACCTATAACTAAAAAATAAATGTCAAAAAAAATTTAAAGGAGGAAAAATTTATTTGGGTTCACAGTCTCAGAGGTTCTAGCCTGTGGCCCGCAGGCCGCATTGCTTTGTGCCTAAGGCCAAGCAGGACCTCAGGATGGAGGGGCATGGCGGAGGAAAGCTGTTCAGCCAGGAAGATGAGAAAGGGAGAGAGAGGAGGAATCCAGGGACATGATACAGTCCCCAAGGACACGACCCCACTGGCCTACTTCCTCCAACCCTTCCCAACCCGCCCACTGTTTTTACACCTCCCAGTAGTCCATTCTAATTATTAATCCATCAAATGGATTCATCAACTGATGAGGTCAGACTTCTCCTGATTCAGCCATTTCCTGAAATCCCTACCTACCTCTGAACACGGCTGCACTGGGAAGCAAGCCTCAACCCATGAGCCTTTGGGGAACCTTCCAGATCCAAGCCTCAACCCACTCCAACCACTTCCTCCATCGCAGAACAGCTCAGCCCTCTCCTGCTGGCCCATCCTTACAAGTACTGCCTCTCTGCCGGCAACTCACACGTTTTTCTGTGTAATCAACAATTAATGATTGGAGGAAGTGCCCCCACAGCAAGGCCACCTGTTCACATACTGAAAGACAGTCAGCCAAATATGTTCCTTGTTACCCCGGAATAAATATCACCCTTAAAACACAACATGCCTGCCCCCCTCGGCCTGGAGATAATCTAAGAGACATATCATGAGAGATTAGAACATGCCACCCCAAAATATGCAGGAGGCAATTTAAAAGAAGATGCAGGAAAGCTCTTGGCCCTCCGTTTGCCTGATACTGAAAAGTATCCTGCACCCCTTTCTCCCAGGAAGAACAGAGGCTGACCTTGAAACTCACTTTGGATGTGGTACCAGAGGAATTTACATAAATAAGACCTGATCTGCCACCTATTTGCCTTCCCCCCAATTTACTGCCCCTAGAGACCCCGAGTCCTTTTTCTTTGTCTCCTCACTTCTCCAAACATGTAGTGGTTTTTGTTGAAAAGCCTATATAAGATAGAGTTCCAAGTCACCTCTTTGAGAACTACTCATTCTCTGGGTGTCTGCCATGTCTGTGTGAAATACACATGTTAATAAATGTCTGCTTTCCCTTGATAAGCTATGCTTTTGTTGTAGGAACCCGTTCCAACTAAGAATGCATGTGAGCTAAACAAAAACTTATTTTTCTTCTCCTACTCCATCAAGAAAGAAAGATGTGGGGAACTCGCCCCGCATCTTCTGTATAATTGGTCACAAGAGTGCAGACTTCCACGTCTACTGGGAGAAAGGGGGAAATGCTCCCCTCACTTGAGGAACCTACCTGGTCAGCTGAGACACCCCCACGTAGAGGAAAGCAGACCAAAGAAAAAGTGGAACACAGTGAATTCCAAGGTGAATAATAATGGAACAGGAGCTGCCCCCTAGATGCAGAGAATCTGCAGAATGTATTCACCAGCCTAGATCCAATCCCGAGATGTGACTTGTGGGGTGAGAACACAGACAAGAAAAAGCAAGAGCTCACTGAAACTGCATGGGATAATGCTTTTCCTAGTTCCTGAAAACTGAGCAGCTTCCCTGAAAATATAAGGGGTACAAGAACTACCGCTGGGGAGTCGAGAGTGAAGGTAACACAAGGTGATGTGTTTACAAAGCCCAGAGCCCAGATCCTCCAGCTATTTGGAGACCCCTGTGGAAAACGGGACCCTGAGTCTATTTTGCCATCTGTCACCCTGGCTCCTTCCTGGGAGCCTTCCGTGGACCTGGTTCATGCCACTTCAGTGCGGTCCCTTTGCTGTAAATAAGTGCTCCTGGCAGGGGGCTGGCCTGTCACCCCACCTGGTGCTAGCACTTGGCCGCCTTTTTCAGCACATGCGTCACCGGGAATGAGACCAGTAAGTGAGTCAAGTATCCTGGAGAGAGAAATATAATGATCACCAGGGCTGTCCAATGAAAGAAACTGCTAGGAACACACATCAGCTGCCTGTCGATCTATGTTGCTGTAGCTCTGCGGGGAAATTCTTTTTGGAGATGTTGGCAGGGAAGGAAAAAAAAAAAAAAAACTTTGGGGCTCTTCATTTTTCTAGTGACACTTCCCCTTGACTGGTTACCGCTTCTCCACGCCTTACACTTGAAAGGAAAAAAAAAAAAATCCCATATTTTAGACACAAATGATGAACGAAAATAGCAGAAAGGTTAGGAAATTTCCAGAATTCTCCTCCATTGCAACCCCAAGCAATTTTTTTTTTTTTTTTTTTTTGGTGACAGGAATTGAATAAATTGCACAGGGAAAATGAAATCAGGGCTTGAAGAAAAGGGAGGCTGAGTGAAGATAATCGCCAACACCATTGACCTTCCCTGACCTTGACACAAAATTAGAATACTTGAGTATAATCTGGGAAAAGGGTCACCTTCAAGAAGAACCCAGAGCTCAATGGCAAGTGGGTGCAGCCTCAGAATTACCCATCCTCTGTGCCATTATCAATGTCCAAGAGTAGCTTGAGGTTGGCCAGCTCCAACTGGCCCAATGGACTGGCCATGTTACTGGCTCCCCTCCCTTCTTTCCTTCTGGTCCCCTCTGGTTCTCAAAGTTCATTGATAAAGAACATGGTTGGGAAGTCCAGCGCCTTTGGAGAGTGGGCTAATGTACTGTGCGGGAAGTGATTTCTTTTCTCACTCCTCTCTAGATTCGTGGCTGAGGCCCCCACAACAAAAGGTAGATTAAAAAGAAAAAAGCATAACATTTCACTTAATGTAGGTTGTATGTGGACGGGAACCTTCGTAAGGAAATGAAGACACAAAGAGACAGATTGAACCAGTGTGTTTTTTATGTGGGTTGGATGAAGACATGAATCGTCATGGAGGAATGTGGCTAAAGAAAGTGGGTGCTATCTGATGGTAATAAACTGGGGACAACTTAGCAAAGCCTGTCCAGATTCCTCACCATGTCCCTGGGCTTCAGAAATAAGGTGGTTCCTTTCTTCCAGGTAGCTGTAGGGCATTTCTCCAAGGAGGGTCGTGAGCCCTGCTTCAGGGGAAGGTCAGAGAATCCTCCTGAGGATTTAGGACTGGCTTTGGGGAGGAGGGCAGGAGAAGGTGAGAACAACCTTCCTGCTTCTGCTATTTTCCCAAATGCCAAGGTGCCATAGTTTGTGGTGGTATGTCCTGAACCGCAATAGAATGTAGCCCACACTGGCTCGTATGCTATTGCGTTAGTAACAACTCTACCTCCACAACCATGAAGGTTAATCTCCAATCCACTATGATTTTCTTGGAGGCTCTCTACTTAGGAGTAAGGACTTAGATCCATCCATCTTTATTAATCTTTGAATTTTAATCATCAACAAAACGGCGATAAGGAAAACTTAAGAGTAAGCACCACCACAGTGAGTGGCGGAGTTAATGACAAGTGCATTTAGCAACAATTTTGGAACAATACCAGGCGTAAATCAATAAAATGCAATAAACCTTGAATGTTCCTCTCTCTTCTGCAAGCTATTCCCTGCTGCTTAGAGAAGAAGGTTTAAGTAAAGTTTTCCAGATATGGCACCTATCTGAGAAAAAAAAACACACACACACACAAAAGCAGAGAAAAACAGGCTGCACCGAGGTGTTTCTTACTTTCAAGTTTCACTTTTGTCTCTCATACACTTTCAACTCAGGAAAAGCAAAGGAGACAAAGGCTACCTCCCAGGGCCCTGCTGTCCTGAAGATGAGTCATCTCAATTCCCAGTTCAGAGGTGGCAAGCCAGGGGGGAGGTGGTGGG